ACATTCAGAAGCGTTCATATCTCCCTCTCCGAACAACTATACGGCTCTCGTTATATATTAACATCATTATATATTAAAGCTCTGTGTATAGTTAGGCGTTGGTTAGGTGTGTAGCTTCTGTGGGCGAGTATTTGTATTTGTAGTACGTGAGTGAAGCATTTTCGAAGTTGCGATTGGAACAGAAGCCGGCAGCGAAGCACTGTTCGAGAGGTGTTCGAACGTGATCAGTAGTGAGTCGTGTGTAAACCGTTTTTATTCATAAACCAGCCCGTCCTCCAAACAAAGATCCAAAAGTGATTCCATGCACCCGCCAAACCCCCTGTTTATGAATGAAAAGCGGTTTACACACGACTCACAACTGCTGACGTTCGAACATATCCGTAACAAGTGTTTCACTGACGAATTTTGTTCGAATCATAACGCTATAAATGCTTCACCCACGTACTACAAATACAAATAATCGCCAACAGAACCTAAACACCTAACCTAACCTAACCTATGCCTATATATGCACAATATGCTAATATATTATAATATTAATTTATACTTGAGAAAATTCCCGTTTTGAATGAACAGCATGTTAAAATTTATGAATGCGTCTGTGGGGTCGACCGCTGGATGTAATGGACTTGAGTCGAGGACGGGTTGCATAAACAGCGGGTTTGGCGGCAAGATTAACGCGCATTGGGCCTTTCAAGACAATTTAAAAAATACTTAATGTTTTATAGTTCCAAGAACAGGGAATGAAGATGGACTTCTGAGGTTGTTCGCTTGATTCTCTCAAGTAGGTTTAAGTCTGTAAGTGGGAGGGTTTCAATCCCTTTTGTCAAGTTGTTACCAACTTTGACATTTCGGGTTGACTCTTGACCTCAAGATGAAGTTTAGAAGTAGTGAACTAGTTCTCTGATCATACTCAAGTCTTCGTCAAAAGCTCTTGTTTTACTTCTCGATCAAAGTCAAATATCGCTATGAATCACACGCCTGACTTCCTCACACACCTGTCACAATTAAGTCACTGGAGAACAAGAAAAAGCAATGAAAAAAGCAAATCGGGTCGTTCAAGGACTGCTTGTCTCTCTCTATAAATTGTCTTGCAACAAGTAAAGAGTTTGAAAATATGTTGATGACACCATTGCCCACAAGGCCACCGCTGGTGTGCAGGGGAACCTCGTGCAGCCTGTGGCACAGGTCAGTCCCCGCACACACTGCCCCGACCTAGCCCACACTCACATGCCCAAATTATATATATATATATATATATATATATATATATATATATATATATATATATATATATATATATATATATATATATATATATATATATATATATATATATATATATATATATATATATATATATATATATATATATATATATATATATATATATATATATATATATATATATATATATATATATATATATATATATATATATATATATATATATATATATATATATATATATAATATATATATATATATATATATATATATATATATATATATATATATATATATATATATATATATATATATATATATATATATATATTACTCAAGAACTCTGTGACTCAATTGAGGTTCAAACCCCCGCCGCCCAAAACCACCCCTGGAGTAGAGTACCGTTACCACATCTCCAGCGATAGTCTATAAGGACTGGTTAGCTCCATGACTAACCAATCCCCGGCGACACTCGTGGTGCAATGCTGGCACAGTTTTTCATCAATCCCTAGTGCATGCTCATGCGTGTTCTTAAGACAGTTGTGGGTTATTCCAGCTTGTTTCAGGCATACACATATATAATGGGTGTTTAGTGACACGTAAGAAGACAAAATGCTTGAAGCACAAAGGTGAGTTAGGAGCGTGTGTAGCCTGGGGAGAACAAAGGTAACATTGGTGGCCTTCATAACTGGAAGTGTGTGTTGTAGAGTGCCAGGAGCTGCATCTGTGTGCTGACGAGTGAGGTGATGAGCTCTCTCTTCCAACACCACAACGGTTGTAATAAAGGCTATAATGATGTTTGCAGGTTGTAGATGTTATACAAAATGTTTCTTCGTCTCTCTCTCTCTCTCTCTCTCTCTCTCTCTCTCTCTCTCTCTCTCTCTCTCTCTCTCTCTCTCTCTCTCTCTCTCTCTCTCTCTCTCTCTCTCTCTCTCTCTCTCTCTCTCTCTCTCTCTCTCTCTCTCTCTCTCTCTCTCTCCTCTCTCTCTCTCTCTCTCTCTCTCTCTCTCTCTCTCTCTCTCTCTCTCTCTCTCTCTCTCTCTCTCTCTCTCTCCTCTCTCTCTCTTGCCTACCTGAGAGGCAGTAATACACCACCACCGGACCTCTCACTACCGTCATATATACACCAAGGTATACTGTCTCCGTCAGACTATAGTTGCTGTGCTCTCCGTTACTGACCTTCAGTGAGGCACCTCAGTCGTCGTCACATCTCCCGTCTTGTCTCGAGAATGTCTCCTTGTAGTCACCTCAAGGTCTATACAGTGTTCGCATCACTTCTTGTGGGATCCGAGCTCGATCCTTGAAGGTCCAAATCTTTGGGCACCGTTTTCTTCACTCATCTTCATAGCTGATGGCCACCACAGGTTTCTGATGAGGCACCACAAGCTTCTGATGGCCATCTCTTCTCTGATGGTCATCTCTTCTCTGATGGCAAGAGAGATGTGCAGCCCACCTCCATGCTTCCCTTGGTGGAGTGCTGCTCATGTCTCTCTTATCCTGAGGACGACGACCACTCTGCTACCAGGGAACAGGCTCAGTGCTTTCGCCTGCATGTAATGGACCTGACTTACACCTTGCCGCCGCTGCTGTCGGGTCCTGGAGGCAAACATCATTAACGGTAAGGCATTATTATCAGGAGGAACCGCTTAGGCAGTGTGGCTGTAGAGCAGTTTGTCAGGAAACAACCACGACGAGATGTCACACGAGGTCAAGGCTCTGGGACACTAAGAAGTCATTATACCGAGCAGGCTAAAAATATCGTTAGAACCCACATGTAATACTGTCAAGGCTGTCTGTCACCCCAGCCTGTACTGTCAAGGCTGCCTCTCACCCCAGCCTGTACTGTCAAGGCTGCCATACAGTCACTCCAGCCTGTGTTGACGGCTATCAATATTTGCTCTGGGCTTCTGCCTTACGTAATTGTTTTTTAAATAATATATTATTGTCTGACGGTAATTCATTTGTGAATTGTTGGTAACAAAGAGAATTACAGAGAAGGAAATGTTTGCTGTATCGTCGACACCCCCCCCCCCCTCCTCCGAGGAAGAGGAAGAGGTTTTTGTACAATAATTGATATGTGTGTATGTATGTATGTATGTATTTATGTATGTATGTATTTATGTATATGCATGTACGTACGTATGTATGTATGTATTATATATGTAATTTGTAAGATGAAATATTTTTTAATAGATTAAACAAATCCTAACAAAGTGTGAGGAGTTTGGAGAAGAAAATAGTGAATAGTAACGAAGGAGAAACAGCAAAAGTGTTGATCAAAATAATAAGGACATTACTAGTAAGTGGAATGGGAGAAGGTGAAGGGCAAGTGAGCAACAAGTGCTGCAGACACAACCACTTGAACACTCAACACTGGTTTTTGTCCTCCACTTAAGTTCACACTATCGTCTTGCCACCACTTTTCACCCCCTCCCCCCTCTTCTTCCCCCTGTACACCCAGGAGGGGTTGTCTAACACCTTCCCTTGGGGCACTAATCAGCACTTCTCTGCGTTGAAGAACGTGTAGGGGGGGGGGGTTGAAATAGCCTAAGCTACTCTATCCCTTTGAGATGTATTTTTTTGCTTGTCTCAATAAACATACTTGAACTTGAACTTGAAGAACGTGTATTAGTCCGCTGAATATCTTCTGCAGATCTTGAAGTAGTGTGCAATCTTTGCATGGTTAACACACACGCTGGTGTGTGTTGCAGTGGGCCGAGGTGTTGATGCACTAGGAGAAACACCAGGGTTATCCCGTCAGTGTTGACGGTATATGCAGTGGTCTTTGTGGCTAGTGTCCCCAGGTTTATTATTTAGCGCTGAAAGCTAAGAATTAATGTGGTTTCGATGTGTCCAAAACGTCCCACCTCGCCTCCAGGTACTCCTGTCTCTCCTGTCTTACTGTCTCACTGTCCTCTCAACCCCGTCCCATCCCTTCAGAAAACACCAACGTTCTTCTCCCTCTCCCCTCTAGTATCTACCCCCTTCCTCCCTCACTACCCCTCCTCCCTCCCCCACTACTCTCTCCCTCCAGTAATATTTCACTGTCACGTTCTTAAGTGCGAGTACTGATGCCTTGAAACCTAATCCGGATTTGAGTGTAGCGTTTGTTAATAAAGCCACACGAACGACTGTGCCTGTGTGTTTGTCTCTGTCATCATATGCAAATATTAAGATGGAGCAGGCGGGACCGTATATTAAATATTTATAAATTTACCAGAATTTAACATTTTAATTTGGGCCGAGGGGCGAGTTTATTGGGCAGCGCCACTCATCCTGTGAGTGGACACACCGCCATAGTGACAGTATTGGGCAGCGCCACTCATCCTGTGAGTGGACACACCGCCATAGCAGCATGTACAACACTCCCCAATAGGAAGAAAACCCGTTGTTCATCCTGTCACTTGTACCCAGACACAGCTGGGACTTGCTTAACTGTCTCGAGTGAACAACTCCTCAAACAAAAAGATTAGCATTCATCAACCGTCAATCATACTGTGAGTGAACATATCGCCATAGTGACATCACTTATCATCACCATGACTATCATCATCACCCACCTTTATCCAACTTACATATGAGGGAGAGAGATTAGCGGGAGAACATTATGGGAGATGTAGAAAAAGATATTACAGTGTGACGTGTGTGTGTGTGTGTGTGTGTGTGTGTGTGTGTGTGTGTGTGTGTGTGTGTGTGTGTGTGTGTACAATAATAAATCAATTTACGGCTGCCACAAATGTTGACAACTATCTCACACTTATTTACACTTCTAGGAATGCCGACGTCATGAAGGAGAACACGACGACCTGGAAAAGCAATCATCATTGACTGAAGTGTGAGAGACGACGCCGCCAGCAGCAGCAGCAAGTAGCACTCACCACAACTCTGAATTAGGTAGAAAACAAAGAGAACCCAGACAAAATACTTAATGTGATTGTAGCACTACAGATATTCAGAGGCTTCATAGTCGAAAAGAAGTTCCTACATTCAATAAATAATGCTAGAGTTATTTATATAGTGTGGTGGAGCTCATTAGATAACGCTAGAGCTCAATAGATAACGCTAGAGATCAATATATAACGCTAGTGCTCAATAGATAACGCTAGAGCTTAATAAATAACGCTAGAGCTTAATAAATAACGCTAGAGCTTAATAGATAAAGCTAGAGCTCAATAGATAAAGCTAGAGCTCAATAGATAAAGCTAGAGCTCAATAGATAACACTAGAGCTCAATAGATAACGCTAGAACTCGGTAGACAAGGTTAAGCCTATACCACAATGGAAGTCACTTGTCCATTACAAGAGAAAGTGCGGAACAGAGAATGCTTTTGCCCATATATAATACCATAGAATTCAACAGAAACCGTCAGAAATCTTTACAAAAATACCATAGACACAGAGGTAATTAGCGAATGACAAACTTAACTGGAAATACAATCAATATAAAAACGAATTGTATACTGGAAAGCACCATAGATCTCTGAAAAAACTGAGATTCTGGAATTAACTGTAAATATAGGAAAAGCGCCAACATTCTAATTACTTTTTCGCAATCGACAACAATCACTGGAAACCAAACTATGTAACTCTAAAATCCATTAGTAGTATCTATTAACCAAAATACAGACCTAAAGCAAAGAAACCCAACTCGAAAACGTTAGAAACTCGTTAGCGGAGGACAGAGACTTATCAGCTGCCACCAGTAGCGAGTTAGCGGAGGACAGAAACCCATCAACTGCCACCAGTAGCGAGTTAGCGGAGGATAGAAACCCATCAACTGCCACCAGTAGCGAGTTAGCGGAGGACAGAAACCCATCAGCTGCCACCAGTAGCGAGTTAGCGGAGGACAGAAACCCATCAGCTGCCACCAGTAGCGAGTTAGCGGAGGACAGAAACCCATCAGCTGCCACCAGTAGCGAGTTAGCGGAGGACAGAACCAGTAGCGAGAATCCCAAAGCGTCCTGCGCCCTTGCGATGCTGTCCACCCCCACCACCGAGGTCCCAGGGATCATGGAGCCAACGGCACAGTCCCTCATGGCTCCCACATGTTCCAACATGACGTGTAGTGGAGGTATAAACTGCACTGAAAATAACCCCGGAGCAACCATACTGTCCCCCATACTCCTGAGCATGACAGGAGTGACAGGTGCGTATCTCTACTTCTCTTATCTGTCTCTCTTTCCACATCCTTTGTTATATTTGTCTTGTTTACATTATTTTTCTGTCTGGGACATTGTGTTTCTTATTTTTACTCTCTCTCTCTCTCTCTCTCTCTCTCTCTCTCTCTCTCTCTCTCTCTCTCTCTCTCTCTCTCTCTCTCTCTCTCTCTCTCTCTCTCTCTCTCTCTCTCTCTCTCTCTCTCTCTCTCTCTCTCTCTCTCTCTCTCTCTCTCTCTCTCTCTCTCTCTCTCTCTCTCTCTCTCTCTCTCTCTCTCTCTCTCTCTCTCTCTCTCCTTTACATAATATTTTGCTCAGTATTCATCATACAGTGTGTTGGTCTACAATTTTATCTCTCAACAGTTTAATTCCATTATTTTAACCATACATAATGCGACAATACACGTTATATCAATGTAAAATGTATACTTCACTTAGTATTTGACACAGCTGAGGAAAGATTTACTAGCAAACATACCGACCTGCATCTTCATTCTCACCGTCTTGTTGTTGTTGTTAAAGGTTTAGCTACTCAGGACGAAGTGTCCATGTAGCACGGGCTATGGTGAGCCCGTATATACCTCTCACCGTCTCTGACCGTCTGTTAATATTCCTGTCGTCACAGTATTACTAAAGTCTTCCCCTCTCCCCTCCCTGCTCCTCCCCTCACAGGACAGGTGTGGGCTCTGTGTTACCTATACGGCAGCAGCGCCAGGCGACACAACGCCCGCACAGTGTTCTATGTCTTCCTCTGCACGCTCATCTGGACAGACTTCCTGGGCAAGATGCTCACGACGCCTCTCGCTATCATCTCCTACGCTGTTGGTCGCTGGGTGGGCGGGGTAAGTGTTTTCTACCATGTAGACATAGCCTAAGCTACTCAATCCCTTTGGGATGTATTTTTTTTCTTGTCTCGATAAACATGAACTTGAACTTGTAAGTGATTTATGCTCGCTTACTTGGTGATTTATGCCCATTTAGGAGGTCAGGTTAAGTGTTTTATGTTCACTTAGGGTTGGATCAATTGGTAAGTGCCTGCTTAGGAGGCGTATGAAGATTTTAGGCTCGTATCAAACGGAAGTGTTTTATGCTCGCTTAGGGGTCGGGGGGGGGGTTATGCTCGCTTACGGGCCGTGATGAGAGTATTTCTGCAAGCTTAAGGACAGGGAAAACACGGGGGAGATATCTCCCGTCACGCAGGGTGCAGTTGCGTCTCCACAGATCTCCAGTATCAGCTAATGATACTGATAATGACTCAAAAAGGCCACCACTTACGGGCTATTCATGCCCGTGCCACCTTTAGGGTGGCTTAATTTTCATCAATCAATCAATCAATCAATCAATCAGAAGAAAAGAACTCCCGTCCTGGAGTTCATAAGGGTCCAGGAAGGACCCCAAACTCCGTCACTTACATTTCAGATGCGTGTGGTTGGGTTTTAAGATGTATAAATATGTGCTGAAGTTTGTGAGTGTGGTTGTCTGCTTCAGAAGGCGATGTGTGACTACCACGGCTTCACTATGGTGCTCTTCAGTCTGCTCACACACTTCACCGTCTCCACCATGGCCATCGAGAGGTTCCTGGGCATCTGTCAGGGATACTTCTACAGTCGCAACGTCACCCCTTCACGCTGTAGGTGAGTGTGTGTGTGTGTGTGTGTGTGTGTGTGTGTGTGTGTGTGTGTGTGTGTGTGTGTGTGTGTACTCACCTAGTTGTGCTTGCGGGGGTTGAGCTCTGGCTCTTTGGTCCCGCCTCTCAACCGTCAATCAACAGGTGTACAGGTTCCTGAGCCTATTGGGCTCTATCATATCTACATTTGAAAAGTGTAGATATGTGTGTGTGTGTGTGTGTTGTGTGTGTGACAGACAGACACGGAAACAATCAGAGACTTAGTCTAGATTTTCAGTCAACTAGTTACTATTCAACCAACTAAATTATCATCAAATATCCCCTACTGTTATAATGGCCATGATGTTGTAAACTTGTTACAACCACTGACTGAGTGGAGCTGTTGGGACTACCCACAACAAAGTCTGGAACAATTGAACAAATCCACAAGGGCCGTGATGAGGATTCGAACCTACGTCCGAGACACGTCTTAATCGACTGTGCCACGACTATTGTGATTTCTGTGTGTAGTATAGTCTAGGACAATATTTAAAACTTTGCACTAATACTTATATTTAATAATGGCCAAGAAAACTAACTCGTTGGACTGAATGAGATAATTTAGTACTCCCATAGGCTAGCTGTACAATGACTCAGTTTAAATGAGTCATTGAGATATATATATAGAATATATATATATCTCTATGTTCTATATGAACATAGTCCTCAAAATGCTTCATTATAAGACATTATATTATATCGAAACACAGAGCACAAGAGAGTGGAGTATAATGCTATCTTCCGTAGAGTTAACTGATGTCAACAAAACGTATGCTATCCTACGGGCAAATGTTAATATCATGACGTCACAGGATGGGCGGAGCCTGTCTGCCAGTTTGTAAACAATGACACGTGATTTTATCACCTCGCCTCACCCCTTTTTGGCGGGAATTTACCTCGTAATTTAGTTCTGTCAACCGACGATGTTGTTCAATTAATTTTGGCCTCTTTAGATTTTTCCTAAACGAATAAAATATTGGCTGGGCAGAACTTGTGGATAGGAAAAGCTGTTCCTTTTTTTTCGTAATATGTTTGTCGTTAAGGGTTTAATAGCATATTTAAGGGTTCATCTGTGTGTGTGTGTGTGTTTACCTCCTTGACAGTTGAGTGTTTGGCGTAGTTTTACTTCTCATTTTCTAAGATTTTTTCATGTCTTGAATCTGTGAATTGTGTTTGTCGCCACTGCGCACACATGTTCCCACACCCCCCTGTGACTCTATTGACTCTCTTAGTTCTTCCTCTAGTTCCGCTCCTCTATTCCTGGAACGGTCTATTGTTGTCTATTTTATGTCTCATATTTTACACTTTCTAATCATATCTTCTATTGTTCTTCTCTCGATCTCCAGAGATTGTAGTTTCAGAACTTTTAATGCCCTCATAGTTCATATGTCGGGTTTCTGGTAACGGGCCCGTTGTCAACCTCTCAACGTTTGTTTTCACACGGTGAATGTTCCATTCAGGAGCTCTATATTCAAGTGTTGGTCTTACACAGGTCTTTTTCCCTTCCCGAGGTTTCTACCAGTCTCCCCTTCAAACTATTCTGCGCCTCTTCTCTTCGATCTTCCTTACAGAGTCTCATAACTTTGCACTTATTGGGACTGAATTCCAGAAGCCATTTGTCTGACCACTTACGTAGTTTGTTATTGTGTTATTATAGGTTTTTATAGGACTCGTCGGTATATCAGCCTCTAGTAGACTAGGAACCAGTTCTCTATACATGCTTTCAAGGTTTTTATATATATATATATATATATATATATATATATATATATATATATATATATATATATAGCATGTGGTCGTACATAGTCCTTCTTGCTGTCTGTTATTAATGGTGTTGTTCCAACAATCATTTACTGGTTCTTCTAGGTGTTAACCCACGTGTGGCCGTGGGGTGGGGGTGTGGGGGGGGGGAGCTGCGGCGGGCCTGACCCGAGCAGAGAGTGATGACCCCGGGTCTTGAGGGTCATTACGATCAGGTCATCAGCGGCCGCTGGATAAGGGCGACTCGCTAAATTGGATGATTCTCGCTATGTAGGTCGGATGGGTTGTTTGTCTCTCTCTCTCTCTCTCTCTCTCTCTCTCTCTCTCTCTCTCTCTCTCTCTCTCTCTCTCTCTCTCTCTCTCTCTCTCTCTCTCTCTCTCTCTCTCTCTCTCTCTCTCTCTCTCTCTCTCCTCCGCAATTTTAAATTTAATTAAATAATTAAATTTATTATATATGTATCTATATATATATATATCCCGTGCCACCTCTTGGGAGGCTTAATCTTCATCAATCGAGACCAGTACGTCCTAACCAGACATAATATGATGATATCCTGAACAGTTGATAAATAAAAGTAATTGCGAACTCCAGTTATCTAATACTTATCATAAATGGTATAAAACCGTTTCATAAGCCAAGGGATTTGTAGATCAGAGTTTAAAGGGAATTCGGAAGTAATAATAATACAGCTGATGCCATCTGGCAGAAGAGAACACTATCAATTTTTTTTTTTTTCAGGGATAATCCTGCGCGGGCCCTAAGCCTCTGGCTGGCCCACTAAGTGTTGCTTGATTCTGTTTTACCTGGGCGGAGTATGAGTATTTATGACTCGTATGGTCGCTTCAGTAAGATTTTGCCATATGTGTTTAACAACTTCTTCTGCTCTGTTGAATCTAAGTTGAAATCTTAATGGGTTTGTAACTGTGTACTGTGTTAGATAATGTTCCAGTGGTCTGTCGGGCATTTCTCCACAGTGTTGACATTTCCTCTCATCTTCCGGAACCTGTAAGCCTATTTCCCATGCACATGGGTATCCAAGCCTGATGCGATGTAAGTGCACTTCTGTTGTTCTACTGCCCCCTTTCATCAAACGAAGTGGTTCGTAGTTGGTTGAATTCTTGTACCAACCCGCAGATCCTGATGTTGCAACTGCTGTGTTGTGGTCACTGTACATCTTTTGCATTGCTCTGTTTCGAATTACTTTCTTCACCTGGGATAGACTCTGTGGTATGTAAATGTCTACATTTCTCCTCTTAGTAGCAAGTTTTGCAGCTTCGTCTGCAACGTCATTTCCTATTATTCCCACATGACTTGGCACCCAGTTGATAAGTACCCGTCGGCCTTGTCGTTTGAGTGTGTGCATGAATGATAAGACATTTGTGATCAGATGGATGTTATCACATATGTGTTCTTGTTGCAAGGTTTCAATGGCGGTTCTCGAATCTGTATGTATGATAACATGCACTATCAACTGGCTGGTCAACAGTGGCCATAAGATACAGTTACGTCATCTGTTGACATCAAATTACACTTATAACAAAATCCTACAAAATACAACTAACGCCATCTGTTTTTTTTCCAACGCACTATAAATAGCCAAACAGCAACCCATAAGGTGGGTTGTTGTGCTCGGGTAGGAGGTTCCAAGCTCCGCCCACAAAATGATATGGGGTGCATAATAAAAAAAATGATGGCATATCATTGGTAGAAACTCTTTGTTGACATTCACACAACAGCCAATTACAGGAAGGGATCAGCTAAATTAAGGCTCCATCCACTTAATAAATCATCTTTATACAGCACACCATCCTTGCTTATGACATTCTGCTTCAACTTTAATCCACCTGATAAGTGAAATGTTAAGTATTTAAAAGTATTAATATAGTGATAATTAAATATTGCAGGATGTAACTGGTGTTACAGAAACATGGGCTGGCTACCTAGCTTGTGACGTCATTAGTGGGGATTGCCTCATGTAAATAATATCGGCGATACAATGCCTCCGCCCTCTTATTGGTCTACATTATTCAGTTAGATGGAAATTTCTGTCTTATGTAAAACAGAAATTGTTGTTCTTTTGTACAACAACAACAACAACAACAAGGTTATTGAGTAAAAGGACGTATTTCTTATTTTGCATTTTAATCATATAAGCGGTGGCATTCCCCGCAACAGCCAATCACAGGAAGGTATTTGTTGGAAACTGCCTTCAACAAAGTTGATTCCTAATGAACTCTAACAATAAATTTGTTTAATAAACGAGTATTTAGGGTCAAGCTACAGATGAACATTATAGGATAACGGTGTTTTAGCTTGCAGCTTCGTTAGACAATCCTTGGTCTTAATTTAAAAAATAAAGAACTAGAAAGCGTATATTATTGCTAACTTTTCGAGAAATAAATCCCAGTCTCTCATTTGCGAACATTTATGCATTGATTTTTTGGCTTAATTAAGTTCTTATCATAATCCCTTTTGCAATCTCAACACCATCTGGCTCGTATCTTGTAACTATCTTCGTTACTTAGCCTCAAAACCTTACATTTGTCTTACATATCCTCAACAGTAGATAAAAAAAAGTAATTGCAGAATTCTAGTTACCTAATACCAGCACGGTATACAACCTTATTATAAGCTACCAGACGTATAGATCAGTGTTTAAAGTAATAATAATACATTATTATTAATGTAATAATATTATTAAAATAATAATAATACAGCTGAGGCCATCTATCGGCAGATAAGAACACTATCAACTGGCAGGTTAATATATAGCCATAAGATACAGCTTACGCCATCTGTTGACATCAAATTACACTTATAACAAATTACCCTACAAAATACAACTAACGCCATCTGTTGCTTTTCCAACGCACTATAAATAGCCAAACAGCAACCCATAAGGTGGGTTGTTGTGCTCGGGTAGGAGGTTCCAAACTCCGCCCACAAGATGGTATGGCGTATCATTGGTAGAAACTCTTTGTTGACATTCACACAACAGCCAATCACAGGAAAGGATCAGCTGTAGGTGGCATCCACTTAGTAAATCATCTTAGTTCAGCCCACCAGTCATGCTTATGGAATTCTGCTTTAACTTTAATGTACCCCCAAGAAGTAAAGTGTTAATTATTCAATGTGTTAATAAAGTGATAATTAAATATTGCGGGATATAACAGATGCTATATAAAAATGGGCTGGCTACCTAA